TTTTTTAGCAACTTAAAAAATTCATAAAAAATCCAATTTTGATCGGAATCAATTCAAACTTGCTACACAACATAAGAACATGTATATGTATCAGAAAAAATTATTAAAATGGAGAATTCTCTCTTAGTCATTTTTGGCGAAATTTGGCCAACAACCCTGTACTATAGTACAGGGATTTTGTCCCAATTTTTTAGCAACTTTAAAAATTCATAAAAAATCCAATTTTGATCGGAATCAATTCAAACTTGCTACACAACATAAGAACATGTATATGTATCAGAAAAAATTATTAAAATGGAGAATTCTCTCTTAAGTCATTTTTGGCAAAATTTGGTTAGCGACCCTGTACTATAGTACAGGGATTTTGTCCCAATTTTTTAGCAACTTTAAAAATTCATAAAAAAATAATTTTGATCGGAATCAGTTCAAACTTGCTATGCAACATAAAAACATGTATATGTATCAAGAAAATTTATAATAACAGAGAATTCTCTCTTAGTCATATTTGACGAAATTTGGTCAACAGTAACCAAAAATCTGCATAAAAATCATAAAAATGGACCTTTTCTAATCTTGTCACATTTTGCATGAAGAACCTATAAGCATTGAACCAGGGTAAGAACACATCCTTTACAACATCCTTGACTCCACCCTCCTGAAATTTGAGTGACTCCGCCCTAACGACTGGCGAATTGATGAGGTATAGTCTATTCACAAGTAGAGGGATGGGTCATGGAACTGGATTGATAATGACAGGGTCTACCTCAAGGCATCAGCTCCAAATTTATTGACAATTTCGACCGGATCAGGATAATTCTTTAACCTCTTGCTCATCTTCTGACCATTACTGAGAGAAAAGAGAAACAGAGAGAGTATAACTAACTTTTACAAAAGCCACACCTACAAATAATATAAACACAATAGTGTACTTACGCTGCCAGGACTAGTCCATTAATTATGAGGTTCTTGTATGGCGGGTTATCAAACAAAGCAGTAGCAACCACTAGTAGAGTATAGAACCAGCCACGAGTCTGATCGATGCCCTCGGCAATGAAATCGGCCGGAAAATTAGCATCAAACGCTTTCTTGTTCTCAAATGGATAATGACTCTGACCATAAGGCATGCTATGTAAAGAGTATGTGGTCATGTGATGGGAGGGGCATGGTCTTACCTCCCACTCTCAAACCAGCAATCAAAGACTTCGGTGACGCGTCTAAGGACACCTTTACCATGAATCGAGGGAATAGTAATATCATCAACACTAAGAGATGGTTTGTAGCACAGTGTATATAGGTTATGATTATAATTGTTGCATATTTAGGACTTACTTTTCTCGATGCAAATCAGTCACTCTAACTCCTGAATATTTTTCCAATTCGTCAATGCTGCCTATACACACTACCTATCGATGTTGGAGTCTTGTAAGTGTTAGATTCATGAGTGGGTGGCTTACCTCCTCAAAGTCATCAGAGACCCATAGAGGTATAGGCGTGCCCCAGTACCTGTTTCTTGATATAGCCCAATCACGGGCATCTTTCAACCAATTATGAAACCTCTTGTCTTTAACAAACTCAGGGACCCTAACAACAATAATAATAATGATAATAAATTATAATTATTATTAGAATTACCAGTAGCACTTTTGGTTATTCTTTAAAAGCTTCTCAATAAGAGACTCTACACGTACAAACCAGGAGGGAACAGCTTTGTATATCAATGGGGTCTCTGACCTACCGTGAGGCAGGAAGAGAACATAAAAAAAAGAATTATAAAGTTACCTCCAGCAAAAAGGATAACTATGTTTGATAGTTCCTTGATGCACTAGTCTACCATTCACTTTCAATAGCTTTGTAATAGCTTTATCAGCATCCTAAGTTCCAATTAACTTAATGTACATAATCCAGGAGTTGATTGTTACCATACCTTTACATACTGACCAGCAAAGTCGGTCACTTCAGGCATAAACTGGCCAGAAGGATCAACAGGGCATATAACGGCACTCCCTTTCTTGAAGATACCATACCGGAGACAGATCCTAAAATCATCCTCACCAAAACCAGGGGCCTGATGCACCACACCTGTACCACTCTCTGCTGTTACATATGTATCG